CAGCGTAGTCGTCTCCCCGCACGTGATGGACACACATCGAGGTCGGCACCACCTGCGAGTGCCCCGTGCCATTGCGAACGTCATGGAAATGACAATCCTGCATCTCGACGTATACCATTGGCTTGTACTTTAATACACTCCCAAGAACCCAACCGACCATGACGTCTTCTTCATAAAAAAGAAGGGGTGCGAACTCGTGGTCGCGTTCCTTGCTGTACGGCAGGTAGGCCAGGCGGCGCAGCGGCTTGTACGACACCAACGCCTCCGCCACATCCCTCGACAGGGTGTAGCACCAGCCAACCATAAACGTGTAACCTCTTATATATCTTTCCGGACCAGAGGGAGGAAGCATGTGGTATCCCATGTAGATCCCTCGGCGCGGAAGGAGGCGCAGGTGAGCAACAAACAGCGGCACACGGAGGAACATGTCGTCATCGCCCTTCGCAATGTACCTCGCGGTCGGGAACAGGCGGTGCGCAAGGTCAAACCACATCTTCTGCTTTTTATTGTTTTAATTCACATTTGTTGTATGGTACATGTGTCTTTATTTGTTATTTTATTATATAAATAATGAATTGTTATCCCCATCAAATGTTTTTTTTTTCTTTTCTTTTCGTCTTTGTCCCACTCTTTGTGAATAAAATAAAAATAAAGTAAGACATATTCAAATTCGTGAAAATGCATGTAAAGTGTTTGTCAAGACGGTTGTTGTATGGAGGGTTTTTGTATTTGGCATGTGGTTACGCACGTATATATTTATATTTATATTTGCCGATGTGTTTCTGTATTCTCCGCGTGGTATTTATTGATGTGGCACAAATTAAAGTCGTCCATATATATATATGTATGTATGTATACTGGGAAACGTGTGTTATGTTGTGTGGCATAAAAAAGAAAAAAAAAAATGTTTCGGAAAGTGTTGCTTTTTTTTTTGTTTTTTCTTCTTTTTCATTATTTATTTCCGGATCTTTTATGCAACTGCCTCAGTTTTCTTGTTTTTTTATAGTTTTTTTTTTTTGTTGTTGTTGTATTGGCAATGACGAAGTGTTTTCTGCAGGCGGGATTATTTGTAAGGGCAATTGTCATATTTTGTTTATTTTTCTTCGTTGGTTCCCCACTTTCCCCTCCCCCTCTCTCTCCCTCTCTGTTGTGTAAAATAAAAAATTAAAAAAATAATAAAAAATACAAATGTTGCCTTCTTTTCTTTTCTTTTTTTGTTTTTTATTTTTTATTTTTTTGCTTCTTTTAACGTTCTTTCCGCTGCGTTCCCACGCATTCAGTCAGTCTTCCCGCCGTTTCCGGCTTGTACCATCAGCCGTCATCATACATGCATGCATAGGTGTATAAATGTATAAATATTGCGTGGGCATGCATGGTTCTAAGGGAAAAACAAGAAAAAAATAAGTTACTTCTTCACGTGCTGCCCCTTGAGACGAGCCAAGTAGGCACCCAGTCCCTTCTGCACCTCTGGGTTCATCATAAGTTCCACCACAAACTGCGTGTCATACTCTCTATCTTCGTCTGTTGCGATGTGCTGCAGGAACTCACGTCGCATCATGTCTCGTGACATCCATCGTGATTGCTGTGGGATCGCCATGAAGCGCTCCGCTTCCCTCACCGCAGCCTCGCGTAGTTGTTCCTCCTCAACCACGGCATCCACAAGCCCAATTCTGAGTGCCTCGTCGGCAGTTGGTGTCTCTCCCAACTGCA